AACCAAGACACCCATTATTTGTTGTGGTGATTTAGTTTGACTAACATATGGTAAAACAAACCCATGAGTTTTTTCAGCATAACAAATCCAACCTGGACATGCTGAAGCCAACATAGGCATGTATTTTTGTTGCTGCGAATGGTTATTATTATTATTATTTCCATATCTTGTCCCAGCCGATCCTTCTTTGTTGTTATTATCATATGATTGATTTTCTTGTTGAGAGTCACGAAATCTTTGAACAAATTCACGTGCACTTTCCAACAAAGAAAAATCTCGTGAGAACGAAATATCGAATACATAATGAACTCCAAGTGACTTGAAAAAGTGCGTTAAACGTTTAGCCACCTTAATGCATATTTTTTATCCATTTTTTGATCAGTGAATCTGCCATTTATCACGCAAAAACAAAAAGTCAACAACTACCTAATTCTGCTATAATTGAATGAAATTTAAAGGTACCTGTAATGGTGTTAGACCATATTTTGCTGCTATAGAAGCTCTTGATTGTGGTGCAATAGAAACCGGGTGAAACAATTCCAATAAAAGATTGGATTAACAGTGTCAATAATATTTATCATGCAATAGCATCAAAATCACCAGAAGAAAATGATAAAATATTAGAATTATACAGGTTATTTTTATATAGTAAAGTTCATAATAATATTATCAATAATAATAATTTCTAATAACAATATTATTATTATTTATTAGTGAATGGTTGGAAGGATTTGACAGTTTGAAAAGTAGAAAAATGCTTCGTACACAATATCATGCAGTAGAAAATACGTTATTAAATCCCTTGACTGTCAAATGGTAAAAAAATTGTTATGCAAATGACAACATATATATAAATTATTTATTTTTGGTTTTGCTATTTAAATTACTGCTTTACTGTTTGTATTGTGCTTTACTAAATAATTGAATGAAAGTTTCCTTCTTCATAATTTATTTCTTGTCTTCTTGTCTGAATAAGTTGTCACGTGATTTAGAATATTCCACCTATAGAATTCGAAAAGTGTGGCATCGATGGTTTTTTTTTTTTGTGAAATATATATAAGTAGAATAAATGATATTACCAATATTTATATTTAAAAAAAAAACTATTTTGATCTTTTCCATCGAGATAGATAAATAGCGCTTACTTTTTTTTTTACTTACTCATTTATTTGAATTTTTTCTTTAAAATTAAAAAATATTTTTATTGCTTTAAAAAAATCAATTAAATAATTTGTAATAATAAATAATTATTAACGAACCAAAAAAAAAATGACTGAAAATAATAACGCTAAAGGGGAAGTCAAAATCATCAATACTACTGATAATGAAAACAACACTGATAACATTGAAATCAATAAAAACAACAATGACAGCAAAATCAATGATAATGATAATGATAAAATTAATAACAATGAAAACGATAATAATAAAGCAGTAGGTACTTTGCCTGAATTTGAAGATAATGAGAATATTTTACAGGAAGGTGAACTACGAACTGTTTTCAATGATCCAGTAAACTTTAATGTCAAACATCCTTTATATAATGCATGGACATTATGGTTTGATAATCCGGGGAAAAAAGCTAACACAGTAAGTTGGTCGCAACATCTGAAGGAATTAATAACATTTGATTCAGTAGAAGAATTTTGGGGGTAAATTCCATTTTGTCTATTTTATTTTATAAAATATAAAAAATTTTACAAATATATCATTTTATTAATATATATATATATATTTATAGAGTGTACAATAATATTTACAAAGCTAGTGAATTATCTACCAATTCAAATTATCATCTTTTTAAACATGGAATAAAACCGATGTGGGAAGATCCAGAAAATGAAAGAGGTGGAAAATGGGTAATCCAATTTCATAAAAATAAAATTGGTGATGATATTAATAAACTTTGGCTTCATACGGTTAGTTATTTTTACTATTGTTATCATAATTATAATTATTATTATGCGATGATGATGATGATTGATTTTATTATTATTAATCCAGATATAATTTTTATATATATGTGTATTATATTATATTTGTGTGTTTGTATGTGAATAAAAAGACCAGAATTTTGGAAAGAACAATTAGAGAATGTTTTAAAAAGTATCTATTATTGTTATATTGAGTGAAGAGATTCAAATAAATCATAAAAAAAAAAATCTTTTTTCGTCATCATCATCGTATAATGTCCTTTGTGAACATATAATTTAATTAACATCATTATCATTCTGATTTTTATTATTAGATGCTTGCTTGTATTGGTGAAAGTTTCGAATATTCTGATGAAGTTTGTGGGGTTGTTTTTTCTGTTCGTAAAATTCTCTATAGAATATCTTTATGGACACGAACATCTAATAATAAAGCAGTCTGTGAATCAATTGGGTATGTAAATAATCGTATTTTATATTTATATATATTCGATAATTATCTATTAATTATTAATTATCATTAATTATAATTTTTAGACGACAGTTAAGGGCAACTTTAGAATTGAATTCAGGACTTCAACCTGAATTTCAACCACATTCAGAATCAATTAAAAGTGGTGCTCCTCGAGGTAAAGATTAGAAAAAATAAAAAATAACGAGAGTATTAGTGAGCATGTGCGCGTGACAAGGATTCAAAAAGAAGTAATAACGCTAATAATAATAATAATAATAATAATAATAATAATAATAACAACAACAATAATAATAATAATAGTAATAATAATAATAACAATAATAATAATAATAAGATATCAATTATCAATTAAAAGAAGAAGGTTGGTTGATTGAATCAAATGAATGGGTTATTGAATGATTTCAAAATAGATATATATCGCTTAATATATTAACTTTTTTTTGGTGGGGTCATTAATATTTTTTAAAAAATATATAATTATTAAATTAAAATTAGATATATCATTAATATCATCTTATACAACATATATTTTATATTTAAATAAATAAATATATATAAATGTAAACTTAGCTTTGTTTTTATTTTATTTTTATATATATAATTATACAAATTAAAATTCTTAAAAAATTTAAAAACAAATAAAAAATATTTATTAACTCTATTACTAAACATAGCACAAATTTATTATTTTTCGTGCAACAGCGAAATGTTAAATTTTTATTTTTACTATTTAAAAAGCTTCGAATTTTTTAAAAAGTAGATTAGCCCTACATTATATAAATATTTAACAGTTTATAAAAGTCGACAATTATGAGTGAGTCTTCTTCATATACTGAAATTAATAGCAACAATAACAATTCAACTGGCTCAACAGATTCCAACAATTCATGTTCATCAAGAACTTCAAATAAAGCATGTAATGAATGTTCAGAACCATACGAATCATTACCGTGGTGTTACAAGTGTGATTTACCAAAATATAGTGATTATGAATATGGAAGTTGTAATCCAGAAGTAGATCGATTGATTGAAGAAGCTCAGGAGAAACTGAGAGAAAAGGATTCTTCTTATTTTTTTGAATGGATACCATTTAATAAATTTAAGGATTTTCGAAAGATTGGCGAAGGTGGATTTGGTAGTGTGTTCAAGGCTACTTTTACTGATAGAAGCGTTACAGACACGGCACGTATAGTTGCATTGAAATGTATAAAAACATCAACAACAAAAGGGTCTTGTGCAGATTTTTTGGAGGAGGTAAGATAACCTGATAAAAATATATATACGTGTGTATATATATACATATATAATATGTATTACGTACATTCACTATTTCTATTTATTCATATAGCTATTTAATAATTTTTATTTATTTAATGAATATTGATAATAATTATTATAATAATCATAATAATTTATCAAAAAATTATATATTTTAAAAGGTTAGGATTCATGTTTTATGTTCCTTGGAGTTTGATACATTTCTTAAGATTTATGGAATGACCAAAAATCCAAAAACATTAGAGTATATGATGGTGACGGCGTATGCCAACAGGGGAAATCTGCGAGATTATCTGGAATATAATTTTAAAAAACTTAAATGGACAGAAAAATTAAATTACTTGGCAAATATAGCCACAGATCTTGACACATTACATACTAAAAAATTCGTACATAAGGATTTACATACAGGAAATATTTTACAACATTCACCAAGCAATGGGGAAAAAATAATCAGTTATCTGACAGATTTTGGATTAACAAAATCATACAAAGATAAAACTAGTCCAGACACCAAGATTTATGGGATACTGCCATACGTTGCACCAGAAATTTTACTTGGCAAGAAATATACAAAAGAATCGGATATTTACAGCTTTGGCATAATAATGGCAGAAGTATCATCAGGAACAAGGCCTTTTGGTAACAAACCACATGATTCACAGATGACACTTGAAATTGTAAATGGATCACGACCTGATTTTGGTAATGGAACGCCTCAATGTTATAAAGATTTAGCAGAATGTTGTTTAGACAAGTCCCCCAAAAAAAGACCAACAGCAAAACAATTATCAATGCATCTTTATAAGTGGTCTTGGAGTATATCTGATAATCCAATTAGTGATATAGGTCGAGATTTTCTGGCATCTGATGAATATATTGCGAATTCTGACCCCTCAAAAGGCAAGTTACATCCAGAAGCAATTTATGTCAGCAGGTTTATAAAATTTCCAAAGATTGAAAATGATGACAATGACATATCAGATAGTGATGATGATGGTGATTCAACTAGAGGTTTCTTTAAAGATTAATTAATTATTCTATGATTTTTAATTTAAATATAATATATAATACACATAACATTTATAATCGGTATTTTTACTATAGATTCAAAAATAGTAAATCTGAGAGTGTCCAATATTATAAAAGGTGATATTTTATAATTATTATTATTATGGCTATTATTTATTATTAATCAATTGATAATAATTATTAATTGATTAATAATTGTTTTTATTAAGAATCTAAATCAATCCAAATACCAAAAGCAAATGGTAAATTATAGATATAGTAATGTTATATTATTCAATATCACGAAATAAAATATTATTAATTATATGATTTTTCAATTATAAGAGGAATCTTTTGAAGAATTATCTAACTCCCCAGAATCTTTAAAATCTCCAAGGTCTCCAGGATTGCAAGGATTTGGTAATCAAGTTATTATTTTAGTTGTTAACATAAAATGTATCATTTTTTTTAATTTAATTAATTTATTATTTAATTAATTTAGACAGCACCCTAATAAATCTTACAATACCAAACATTTGTAATTATTGTTATTATTGTTTGTTAATTTTTTTGTTTGACTAAAAAAAATTAATCCAATTAAATAGACAACATGACAATTTATTATTATTATTTTATATATTAAGGTTCAGAGCTATTTGAAACTACAGAAGAAACATTAGTTGAATCAGGTAAAATATTTGAATATATCAATTGTTATCAATTTATATTATTTTAATTAATTTTAGATTCAAAACAACTTGTGCTTACATTATCGAAAGCAATTCCAAATTTTTCATCAAACCAATTAAGAACTGTTATTGGTATAAAGTTTAATTTAATCGATTTTAATTGATGAATGAATAAAGGAAACAAAAGACAATTGATAAATTCAAAAAAAAATTTTTTTTTATAGAAACTGAAGAAAATTCACAAATTGATTCACAAGAAGGTAATTAGTGATATCATTCCTATTTTAACTAATACTATAAAAATATTTATTATAGTTAATATTTATTTTCTAATATAACTAGGTCTTACATTATCAGCAGTACTCAATGGATTATGTAAATATTATTATCATTTGTTATTGTCATTACAGTATCATCATTAGCACAACAAACTATATATTTTTATTGTATTAGCTCTAGAAGATAAAGTAAAATATAAAATCAATGATGAAGAAGGTAATTAATTATATATAAAATATAAAATTCATCAACATATTTTATTAATTGAAACTATATATTTTTATCGTATTAGCTCTAGAAGATAAAGAAAAATATAAAATAAATGAAGAAGAAGGTAATTAATTATATATAAAATATAAAATTCATCAAGATATTTTATTAATTGAAATATGTTATTAGTTTCATTAGCAGCAATCTTTAGAAGTTTGGATTCAAGACAATTGGATCTTTGTATATTAAGTAATTTTTGTTAAATTAATAAATTAAGTTATTTCATTTAAACTTAAAGAAAAAATCTTACAAATCGTCTTTTTAATTCGAAAAGGTGATGATGATGATGATGATGACGATGATGATAAAATTCAAAAAAATTTGAGCATAGAAGCATGTTTAAATGGTGATGATATTACCGAATCACATCAGAGCAGTGATGTTCCTGGAGAGGTTGATAAAAATTTGGAAATAGTAATAATTGAATCAGAATAATCAATTTTTTTAATAAATAATTAGTTATATGCAGTTTTTACATCATTTATTAATATTACTTGTATTTATATAAGAAATTGAACATTTAGTAGAAAAGATAGAAAAAACTTTTTTTATTCTAATTATAATAATTAATTGAAAATCAATCAATAAAACCATTAAATATTAAAAAATATACTGCTTCTACTTTAAATTGCCAGTACAGGGTTGGTCGTATAAACTTAATACATAGGTAACTCGATAAGTCGATCTCTTGATAAATCGGATTTAGCTTAACTCGGCCAATCTATATAAAATTGCGATAAGTTGCAAGTCGGTCAACCCTTCTTCTAGAGTATATGTAAATCTCTCGATAAGTTGGTCTCACGTGATATTTGCATTGGGGTTAAAGGTCATCATTACTATTTTTAGTAACGTGTGATATTATTTTACGTAAAAAATTAAAATATTATTATTATTATTTCAGGAAATGTTTCTTTTTTGTATCGTGATCAATATAACTGTATATTAGTTATATTATTGATTTTATCTCAGAAAAACGTTTCTTTTTTGTATCAATGAACAATATATCTGTATTTAAAGTTATATCTCATTTGAAAAATTTAGAAAAAAAAAATCATTTCTTTTTTGTATTGTGAACAACGCATTTATGTTTTACTATATTTTGTATGTATAAAAAGGTTGATTTCATAATCTTCAGACAACTTATATAAAGATCAGTGTAAATAAATATTGTTTTTAAAAACTCCATTTACATTTATAAAATCTTTATATAATTACGAACTAAAATTTAAAGTTGCGTATTCTTGATAAGTCTGTTCTCTCAATAAGTCTGTCCATCATGCCCAGCCATTCAAGACCGATTTATCAAGTTTACCTATGTATATTGTGCATAAAAAATCTCAAAGATAAAGGTCCAGAGACTTTTACAATTTTCAAGCATCTGACTTAAAGCTCTTGATAATTTGTCTGTCTCCAAATGATATTTTTAATTAATTGTAATAGGTTTCCTTCAATTTAGTACAACTATTAAAAGATTGTCATCTTTATATACTTTTTTCCAAGTTTCTCCAATTGATTTAATTAGTACCTCTAAATATTCATGATCTTTTTAGAAACACCATTAATCGTCAATCCTCTAGCATGTTTTACGTGGATTTTAATAATATAATTTAAATCTACAGTAAGATTTAATTCGTTATTATTATTTCTGATACTAATATACACAGCTGAACTTCATTATAACGGATTTTTAAATGTCAATCTTGATCTTGCCTTTCATATATTAGTTTTTTCTAACTGAGCATTTACTTTCCATTTCAATTGTAATTCTTTAAGTTTTCTATTTATTTTAATCTCCTCTTCCATGTCATCGGCATCATTCCAACCACTGTTACCAGAGCCAAAATTTTAATTCATAATTTTCACTGAACATGAATACATTTATTTAACATGTCGATCGCGCTTATTATGCCATTTATATATCAAGTCAACGTTTTGTTCCTTTTAATAATTTCAAGATTTGAACAATACTTAATTGAAATTGTTACATGGAAATAACATAGATGTATATTTTACCCACATATCAAAATTTCAGGTGAGATTATTAGGGAAGTATCTTCTATTTAAAATGGACAATATTCATTCTAGGCAACGGATATTTCGAGGTATTGGTTGAACTGTTAAACTTAAATGATGCAGTAAATCATAATAATGTCTTTAATAGTAATGAAATTAATAATATATAAACAATAAATCTAACTAATTTAACTAATTTACAAATTATTAATAAGGGAAAATTCTATAAATAAATAAATAATAAATTTTTATCAAAATGTATTTATTACATCATCCAATAATTTATCGAGATCCTAAAGTAAAAATATAAAAAGTAAATAAACAATTTATGCGAGTTAAAAAATATATAAATGGGTTGAAATAAAAATAAAATTACTACTAACCTGTTCCATTTTATCAATTTGTTGATTAACATCAGAAAAAATATCTTTAATTTCTTCTTTTATTTCAGTTGGTTTAATTTGTTTCAAAACTTTCTCAGGATCTTCATTTAAATGCCATCCACTCTTCCTACGCTCTCTCAATTCCAACATATTAACACCTGATCTCACAAGCATCAACAATTCTTTCAAACCAAAATCACCTGACAACACCAAATCAATTTCAGAAATTGACAATGCAGATAATGATGATGTTGATGATGATGACATTTGATGATGTTTATTAAGTTTTTGTAGATTATTGGTTGATGATAAGTTTGCTGAACTAACTGATGAATTGGAAAAGGATCTGTCTCTTGTTTTTGTTTGTTGGAATGGTTGCGTTTTACTATTAGGTTTGTAAACTAAACTACCCGCTGTATCTTGATTTTCGGATTCTATGCTCATTATTGAATTGGGTTGAGTAAAGTTTGGATTGAAATTCGGATCAGAATTAGGATTTAAGTTTGATTTACTCAACCTATATGATGGAGTTTGTTTTACTTTTTCAATTACAAGACCAATCTTGTCTAATGATTGACTTGACCTTTCATCATCATTACTATTTTGAGCCCGACCTATAATCTTTACCAAAATATCTACATCTTGGGTACTACTCCTTCTATAAGATTTCTTTTTGTTAGGAGCTGGCGATGACAATGATTCTTCATTACTACTATTATTACTAAAATCTATTGGTGTCAGGTTTGAGTCTTCTTGATGTTTTTGGTGTTGTTCTTTTATTGGATCTTCATCAATACCCTCCTCTACCACAAGCTCATAATCATCACCCATAATATCTTCAACAATGTCACTGATATCAATTTCTTCGCCATCAGCTGAAATAAATGAATAACGTACTTTTGACCCACCAAAAATCCTTGAACTTCTAATTGCTCCATCGCTTATGACAATATCAATACCTTGTTCAGTATTTTTATGAGCTGATATAATAGACTTTTGCTTGGCTCTACTGTATTCACGTTGCTTTTCAATAAGTTGTTTTCTTTTCAATAGTTCATCATTATTGTCACTATTTTCATTCATAGATTCATTATAATTTATCATTTGTTTTTCTAATGACGATGATGATGATTGTTGCATATATTTTTTTGGATCAATAGCATCTGGCATTGCACGATTTATACGATCTTCAGGTTTTAATAGACGTAAAACAAAAATGGGTTCATCTGGAAGATAATCCAATGCATGTGAAGAAGCGGAATCTAATGAATCAATTGATAAATGTCTAAGATTTGGTGGTGTTGGATATTCAGACAGGATTCCTGCTTTAGGATTTAATAACTTTTCTATTTATGATATAAAATATAATAAATCATTTAATTTTATGTTTATAATAATAATATTTATTTATTAAAAAATGTCCAAGTGTCAAAGTATTCATACCGTTTCCTTCTATATTAAGCATTAGTCTATAACGTGGTATTTCATCATCATTACTTTCTATGTGTTCACCATCATCAACAATACCATCAACAATACCAAATTTCTTCATTGATTTCAATATAACATCAGCAACAGTTGTCAAACCATTGACAATCAAATGTTTTTCTCTTGGTTTTCCTTCCTCGCGTGAACGCCTCCTAGCTGTTTTGTCAGCAAGATGTTTTGTTACTGACAAGGATATTCTTGGTATTGGTGCCAAGGGACCTTTGGATCGTAGATGAGTTGGTAAGTCGTCAGCATATGTTATAACACGTAAATGTAATTTTTTATCACCAATGGATGATCTACTATTTCTACTAATTTTTTTATTTAGATAGAAGGCAACAGTAACAGGATTTTCATTATAATTTGATTCAAGATTTTTTATTTTTGGATGATTTGATATGTTGGAGGATGTTGAAGATACTGATGCTATTGAGCTTCTTTTTATGGATGGTAATGGAGCAGTTGAATATGAATTTAATGATTGAAATATCTCTAGAGGATGATCACTCTCTGTTGTTTCTGTTGTTGTATTTGGTACTGACTTTGATTTATTGTTGGTGGTATATAATTAGGTGTGATGTTATTTGTTGATTTTGACATATGATTCATGGCATTATTGAAATCAGTTGTATAACTATTATAAATTTTTGCTGAATTGGATGGTGATGATGATGATGTAAATGATGAGGGTAGTGAAGATGATGGTGAAGGTGGTGGTAGTGATGACGATGAGAAATTTTTGGTTATTTCTAATTTGACAGATTCATCTTTTTTCTTTGGTGAAATTTTCTTAAGTAAATTCTTGAATAATCCTCCTGGTTTTTCTTTTTCTTTTTTTTTCTCTTCTTGAACTTTTAAAGTCATCATTTTATTATATTCTGCAAGGGCATTTTTACTGCTAGATTTTTTATTAATGTTATAATTATTATTACCCTCCTCTTCATCATCTTCAGTAAAGTCCATGAAATCACTACCTAGAGCAGGTGTAATACTCGCTTTTATATTCTGATTTGGTTCATCAGGAAGTGGTAGAACAAAGGTATTTGAATTAGGAGGCTGAATATTATTATTGTTCAGTTCGATTTGATTTGTAGGAGAAATAATACCAGTGGATTCTGGTGCCATTTGAGGTTGATTGTTAGAATCAAAACTGCCATTATAGTTTGGTTCATCCTGTTGATTGTACTGTTGATTGTATGGGTGGTTATTATTACTTTGTTGATTGTGTGATTGATCATTATAATTATTATATGGTTGATTACTATTATTATTATTATACTGCTGGTTATATTTCTGCTCCATTTGTTGATTAATATTAGGAATGGAATTCAATCGAGTTGGTTCTGGACTTAATGGAGGACTTATTAATTGATCTATAGTTACTTGTTTATTAATATTAAGATTATTAAAATTATTTTCTGTTTGCATTTTTGAAGAATCTGATGTAATGCTTGTCTTATTATCAATAGATACAAAATTATTATTTAGTGTTGAAGGGTTTACAGTATTCTCAATAGGACTATTTGAAAAGTTTTTATCTTCGATTTTAAATTCTTTTTTCTCTGTCATTAATACATCTTCATTTTTTAGTTCTAAATTGGTGTAAACTACACCATTATCTCTATCCATATCTTCATCAAAGTTTAGTCCATCATATGCTTGATTTTGTATTTGAATAATAATATTATTATTATTGGCATCTACTTCTAATTGGTTTTGTTTTTTAATTACAATTTTAGATTCTTCATTTTCATACTCTCCTTCATCTCCTCCAACTTCAATATCTTCATCCTCTTCATCCTCTTCATCGTCCTCATAATCCTCATAATCATCATCAACATTATCATCAGCAAACATATATAATTGTGAATTAAAAGTGACAGTTTTTCCTTTAGTCTTATTTTTCCTTTTTGATATATTAGCTAGTATATCATCTA